AGTTCCGGTCAGGCCTATCTATTGGCAGGGGCACTTTAGGCAGAGGGATGCCGTGACCCAAAGACACCTTCCTGGGACCCCCTGGGCCCCAGGAAAAGCCAGCCCCTCATCTCTCCATCCCAGGGCCAGAGGACACGGGGTGGGGCTGGGCCCATGGCTCCATCAAAGTCAGGTGGATGCTGGCGGTCACAGCATGCTGTGCACACGTGGCTCCTGGTTGCAGGCGCTGCGTCCCTGCTGCATACACAGAGCCTCCTTTCTTCCTCCAGGAGAAGCCACTCTTTCATGGGCAGTGCAGTTGAAGGAAGTGGAAAGTCCCAGACAGAGCCTAGGAGCCCCTCTAGGTCCCTTTGCCTCTTCTGGCCCCTCCCAAGGACAGGAAGAAACAGCCTCTGCAGGTGGGCAGGGTCCTGCCCAGAAGCAGGGTTTCTGGAGCCGAGGCCGGGATTGAGGGAGGGAAGGGGGAAGACCGAGGCCCGGGCTCTGGGCTGGACTGCAGCCCCGGCCGGCTCTCCGGCCACAGCCCAGGAGAGCCACGCAGAGAAGCTGCCGATCTCCACCCCGCCGGCTCCACATTCCTGGATGCTGAGGGAGGGATCCCAGTGTTTACTCCGAACAATGTTTTCCTCTGTCTGAACCGACTGGGCGTTAAATTCTTCCAGATTTCTGGCTCCACGTCGTAACTCCAACGGGAGAGAAATAGGTTTACGGCAGTTGGCAAGGGTGGGAACACAGGGTCCGTCCCTATACCTCGTGGGTCTAGAATTTCCATGGGTGGATGGAAAGACTGCCGGCTGTTTGGTGGTGATGGTGGAGGGCTTGCCCTGGTTCTGCACCTTGCCTTTCACATTTCCCACCCTAGAGGGCAAAGTGAGCTTTCTCTTCTGGAACTGGGCAGAAAGGGGGCCGAGTGCTGAAGGTCAGGGCTTGCTGTGCTTTCTTGGTTGTGATAAACTCAGAAGTTGGGCTCACATGGAACTCATTTGGTGGGGTGCTGGGAAGCTGGCGTGCATCCTGGGTCTTGGGCTGCTGTGTGGGGAGGAGGTCAGAGCTGGAGAGAGAGAGAGGCAAAAAAAAAAACAACCCTATTTTCACAGAGAAATCTAGTGACATGAGGGCTAGACTGTTGGGCCAGAAAGACCCCAACATAGCTGCTTGGGTCTCAGAACCATGCCGGTTGGTGCCTGTGATGATCTGTGACTGTTACTGTCCTTTAACGGGATGTCCTTTAACAGGATGACCATACAACGGGGCCATGGAGATCCTCTTCTCTTTATTAACGATATAGAGACCTTTGGGAAACCAGTAGGATCGATTCAAAGAGAAAGGCACCTTCCCTTTGAACACATTAACCTGGTTCCTGGTTTTTTCTCGGTGATGATGTGCTCTCTGTGGGGTCCTGGGTGAACCCTCAACTGTGGGGGCAGCTGCCCTTCAGCCTTTTGAATAGGAACAGCCTAGATCCACATCAGGCAGGGGGCAGATGGTGGCCTTGAAACCCCCGGTTTTCTTACCCTGTGCTCTCAGACCCTGAAAACCTACTCCTGAATCCCTTTCATGGTGTGTGTGTGTGCGCGTGTGCACTCGTGCACACATGCACTCGTGCACACACAGCAGGAGAGAAAGGTGGGTGGCCAGCCATCCAGATCCAGAGCCCAAACAACATTTATGTAGTGGAGGGGGTGGGTGGGTAAAATAATTGTGTGACAGAATTTGACTTTATAATCTGGCTGCTTTCACAAAGCCATTTTGATGCCAAAGTCATTTTTACTTGGTCTTAAACCACTAAAGCTACAGCTTTCTGAACCTCTCAGGGAACATGTGAAGAAGGCACCCTGGCATCATCTCTGAGCCCCACCTCCACCCCTTCCCACCCTTCCCTGTCCCCTCTCTGCCTTGACCCCTCCAGCCACAGCAGCGTGTTCACAGCGTTGAGATGGCCTTGTTGAAACTGGCTTTGTTAGACAATGGCCTCATTTCTGTGGTGTTTGATAGCCATGAATTCTTTATGTGCACATATTCCCTTGTAGCAGGAGTTGCATTGTTCCCCAGAGATGGGAGCAGAGCGGAAAGAGGAATCATGTAGGGGAATTACCCCCATGGCTGGCAGAGTCCATGTCTCTGTTCAGGAGTAGGATCCTTCCTTGGGAAGTCTGATATGGGCCTTGTATCAGTTGCCTCTTGCTGTGTTACAAATACCCCCAAATTTAGTTCCTTAAAACACACATGTACCTCCCAGTCTCCATGGGTTGAGAATCTGAGTGGGACTTAACTGTGCCTCTGTCTCCAGGCCTCTCCGTGGGGGACAGTTGTGGTTTTGGCTGGGGCTGTGGTCCCACCTGAGAGGCTAACTGGGGAGGGTCCCTGCCCAAGCTCACTCGCGTGGTTATTGGCAAGATCAAGCTCCTCACAGGTTGTGAAACTAAGGGCCTCAGTCCCTTGCTGGCTAGAAATATCCCTGGCCATTGGATTCTCCCTAGGGTGGCTTATAATAGGGTTTCCCTCTGATGTACAGAGACAAAGAGAGACAAAGACAGACACAGAGAGTGAGTTCAAGAAGGAAGCCAAGGTTTCTGTGTAACCTAATCGCCATGTAATGTCCCATCACTTTGATCACATTCTATCTGTTAGAAAGGAGGTATTAGATGTGTGGGGGTGGGTGGGTTTCAGAGGATGTGAGTTCTGGTGGGCAGAGGATCTTTGGGAGCCTTCTAGGAGGCTGTCTGCCAAGGCTTCTGGGCCCAGTTCTGTTCGGTCTGTCCAGCCTGTGGGCCCTGGCACCCTAGTGGTTCTGATAAGCCTGTGGCTGTGAGGGGCAGAGATAAACGAGTTCTATGGTCACCAGAGAGTAAGACACAATGTTCTGAAGACCACCCGGGGGCTGGTGATTCTGAACTGGTTACACTTGCCCTCCACTCTCTCCTCTCATCCCACCTCCACCCTCTGCTCTCTCTGGAATTCATCTAGTTCTTGTCTTGGGTGACCATGTTATGTCATCATCTTGCTACCCACACGCGCCCCAGTCACACATCAGAGAGGTATGTTCATGTCATTAGTTCAGGCTTCCTGATCTTCTCTACAAAAGCAGACAGTTAGAACTTACTGGTCATGACATCCTTCTCCCTGAATCAACTGGATTGGAGTAACATCTGTGGGACAGGGTGTTTCTCACGGAGAAACTGAAATTTGGAAGGACCAAGTAACCTGCTCAAGACTGGACTTGAGATGCAGAGCTGGAGCTCAGAACTGTCCTCCAGCCCACGTCCCCTTTAAGCTGCTCACATACCCAAGTCTCCAGATTGTTTCCAGCAGGAATCTGGCGAGACTTTTTGGCCCAGTTTGCTCATGAAGTCATCGCAGGCTGGAGCTGCGGTGGCCTGAGGAGAAGAGAAACGGGGTCAGCTGGGACCAGGGGTGTTGAAGCTGAGGGTCGCCCAGAGGCTTGTCTGGGGACATTGGGGAGTTGCAAAGGGCATGTGTATGCATGTGTGCATGTGCACGTTTGTGTGTAGGTCATAGACCCATAGACCCCCCCCTTCATCTTGGGGATCAGGGCCATGTGCGTATCTGTACATTTGGACTCGAGTGGCTGCAGGTTGACTGGAATGCCTCAGACTTGTTGGGCTTGGGTCACCTCCAGAGGGTGTCCTTTCTGCAAGCAGATGATATAAGCAGGGCTGCTGGGACCTGAAGAGTGGCGCTGATGTGGGGGATGGGTGAGACTTGGGAACATAAGTATGCCCCCCTTCTCGTAGCCCATCCTGTCATCTCCTCTGCTCCAGCCTCTTCCTGGATGTCACAGTCCTGCATGACAGGCACCCAAGGAGGGTGAGGGCAGTCCAACCTGGGCTCCCACCTGCTTCACATAACGCACTTCACGACAGAGCCATCAAGGCCAGAGAAATCCTGTTACTGCCCCTAGTTTACAGACAAGGTCGTCGAGCCTCAGGAAGTTTAAGTATCCCACTGCAGGTCACACAGCGGGGCAGCAGCTGGCCTGTCCTGCGCTCAGGCTCTTAATTATATGTGCTGTGCTGTGCTTAGTCGCTCAGTCGTGGCTGACTCTTTGTGACCCCGTGGACTGTAGTATGACAGGCTCCTGTCCGTGGGGATTCTCCAGGAAAGAGTACTGGAGTGTGTTGCCACGCCCTCCTCCCAGGGGATCTTGCCAACTCAGGGATCGAAACCAGGTCTCCCACATTGCAGGCAGATTCTTTACCGTCTGACCCACCAAGGAAGCCCACGGATACTGGAGTGGGTAGCCTATCACTTCTCCAGGGAATCTTCCTGACCCAGGGGTTGAACCGAAGTCTCCTGCATTGCAGGCAGATTCTTTACCAACTGAGCTACTAGGGAATCCCCTTAATTGTATACTTTACTCCAAACAACTGCTTCATATGAATCTTTGTCCCGTTAGGCACATTCTCGTATGTTGCCTCCTGGAGCTGTTGAAATACAAACATAGATCACAGAAACACCGTGGGAGCACCGAGGAGAGAGCTGGTTCTCATGCAGAGCTGCACAAGGGTGGGTCTGCAAGGCCAGGCCTCTGTCAGGAAAGGACGTCCCCCCAACACATACTGTGGAGGGCCCATTCCCGGAGAGTAAAACTGTTCCGTGCACCCCTCCACTGTGCCAAGGAGAGACACATTAAAACCCTTGTTGAATTGGATTTCTGACTCAACAAAAACTCCTTTTGTCAGAACCTCAGAACTTCCTGGCACGTGACCGCACATATTTCCTATGTGGTAATGGGTCGCTGTGGGCTGTTTGTATATCTGTGCCTAGAAAAATTCGTTTAAAATGAGTAGCTCAGTATTTCTCTCCAATTTCAAAGACCCCTTTCTTGATCTTTGGGTACTCAATCTTTGCTATTCTCTCTTTTAACTGCAGGCAACAGTTTTCCTGCATATTCAGCTGTCCATTTCCCCTAGAGCATCCATGGTACTTACATGATAGTGTATTTTACCAGTTTACCTTCCTCATTCTGTGTTTTTCAGAAAACTCTTGAGATGAGCCACACCACAAACTTCCAGAAGCTTCCGTGCTGGAGAAACAAGAACCAAAGACGGTCAGAGCGAGGTGAGCAAACCTGGAGAGAGAGACCCCAATACCAAGTGATGCACAATGGGACAAAGGGCCCTGGTAGACCAGGCACAGATAAGACACTTGAGAGAAGAGGGCAGGGCAGGTATAAGCCCCCTGTGGAGGCTGATCGGCCTCCCGAAAGATGAGTCATTGAAACAGTCCTGGAAGGAGAGATGAAGGGGCATCTGAACTTATCATCGTTCTGAGGGAAGAAAAGGCCACTCCATCCTCTAAGAGCAGATGGGCGACACCCCTGGGTCGCATCTAGTAGCAGTGACATCGCTGTGTATGGTGGGCATGCAGGGGATGGAGTGCATGTTGGACCAGACGGGAAAGGAAACGGAGCTTCCGAGGAAAAGAGGGGTTGTCATTCAGTCTGTTCGGGCCCTATGGTTTTCTGTGTGAGACAAGGTTTCACTGAAGCCTGAATCCTGGACTTGGTGGCTTCAAGCCAGTGTCCTGGGGGCTCATTTCTGGGCAGGGCTTCCCAGCTGGCATTAGTGGTATATCCTCCTTCCCTCACTCTGGTGCTTTGCAGGAGACATAAGAGATGCAAGTTCGATTCCTGGGTCGGGAAGATCACCTGGAGAAGGGCATGGCAACCCACTCCAGTATTCTTGCCTGGAGAATCCCATGGACAGAGGAGCCTGGTGGACTACGGTCTATGGGGTTGCACAGTATCGAACATGACTGAAGCGATTTGGCATGCATGCATGTATATGTATATGTATATGTATATGTATATGTATATGTATATGTATATGCTGTATAGTTGTTCAGTCATATACAACTCTTTGAAACCCTAGGGACTGTAACCCATCAGGCTCCTCTGTCCATGGGATTTCCCAGGCAAGAATACTGGAGTGGGCTTCCAGTTCCTTCTCCAAGGGATCTTCCTGACCCAGGGATCAATCCCCTCTCTCCTGCATTGGCAGGCAGATTCTTTACCACTTTGCAACCAGGGAAGCCCATAGGTTATGTGTATGTTGGGATAACTGACCCCTGAAGAAGGTGGCCACATTAGCTCTTTGGTTCCAGGTGGAGTCTCAAATGCAATCACCTTTTTTCTTTTTTTAAAAAAAAAGCAAGATAGGGGTTTTAATATGATTAAAGCGAAGTTAAAAAAAAGTCAGGTGAAACATGGCCTTATAAAAATCTTCCAATTAAGAAAAATATACAGGTAAACAGGCAAAAAAATAAAATTAATATTGTATAAGGATACATAAATAAAATTTTGCTCATCATTATTATCTAGAATATTAACTTTTGAAAAAGAAAGCATTATTTCTAGGATTTGCTTGATATTTATTATTTTTTTTTAAAGATGTTTTAAATGTAAGTAATATATGCCAAGTTGAAAATTCAGTGTTCATTAAGGATGAAATGAAATTTGATTTCCCTCTTTCACTCTCTGGTCCCCTGGTCCCTGACTTAAACGGTAATCAATGTTAGCTGTTAGCAAGTCACCATCTTTAAAGCAAACCCTGGCCTGGGTTCCTGGTGCTTTGAGAACTGTAGAATCAGGTGGTGGGGCCCACTGATTGCAGCCGCCCTGGAGATTCCTGTCTGTCCTCCCATTGTTCCAGTGGAGCAGGGCTTCCTCTCTCTGATTGATTATACTCTGTGAAGCCACATGTTTTCATGGTCCCTTTACTCCTGAGTCAGCTGTCAGGCAGAGAGAAGGTCTCTGGGCACACACTGCTTCACGCCTTTCATGTCTGATTTCCTGACTATGAAAAGGCAGGGCTGGTTCCTGCTGCCTGTCTTTTCATCTTTCCTAGCCATCTTGCCTGTCGGTGTACCCGGCCACTGAAAACGTCCACGGAAGGAAAAGGTTGAACAGCGCTCCTCTGATTGTGCCTGTTTGGCTCATTTTGGAAATTTTATTTAAAAATTTGAACCTTGATCTCTAGACAGTATGGCCATGGGTGCTGTTTGCTGAATGAGTCTTCACATTACATTTATTTATTTTACTCTTTAAATTTTTTAATTTTTATTTTTTTCCCATTTATTTTTATTAGTTGGAGGCTAATTACTTTATGATATTGTAGTGGTTTTTGCCATACGTTGACATGAATCAGCCATGGATTTACATGTGTTCCCCTTCCCGATCCCCCCTCCCGCCTCCCTCTCCATCCCATCCCCTTGGGTCTTCCCAGTGCACCAGCCCTGAGCACTTGTCTCATTCATCCAGCCTGGGCTGGTGATCTGTTTCATCCTTGATAGTATACTTGTTTCAATGCTATTCTCTCAGAACATCCCACCCTTGCCTTCTCCCACAGAGTCTAAAGGTCTGTTCTGTACATCTGTGTCTCTTTTTCTGTTTTGCATATAGGGTTATCATTACCATCTTTCTAAATTCCATATATATGTGTTGGTATACTGTATTGGTCTTTATCTTTCTGGCTTACTTCACTCTGTATAATGGGCTCCAGTTTCATCCATCTCATTAGAACTGATTCAAACGAATTCTTTTTAATGGCTGAGTAATATTCCATAGTGTATATGTACCACAGCTTTCTTATCCATTCGTCTGCTGATGGGCATCTAGGTTGCTTCCATGTCATGGCTATTATAAACAGTGCTTCGATGAACATTGGGGTACACATGTCTCTTTCAGATCTGGTTTCCTTGGTGTGTATGCCCAGGAGTGGGATTGCTGGGTCATATGGTAGTTCCATTTCCAGTTTTTAAGGAATCTCCACACTGTTCTCCATAGCAGCTGTACTAGTTTGCATTCCCACCAACAGTGTAAGAGGGTTCCCTTTTCTCCACACCCTCTCCAGCATTTATTGCTTGTAAACTTTTGGATAGCAGCCATTCTGATTGGCGTGTAATGGTACCTCATTGAGGTTTTGATGTGCATTTCTCTGATAATGAGTGATGTTGAGCATCTTTTCATGTGTTTGTTAGCCATCTGTATATCTTCTTTGGAGAAATGTCTGTTTAGATCTTTGTCCCATTTTTTGATTGGGTCATTTATTTTTCTGGAATTGAGCTGCAGGAGTTGCTTGTATATTTTTGAGATTAATCCTTTGTCTGTTTCTTCATTTGCTATTATTTTCTCCCCTTCTGAAGGCTGTCTTTTCACCTTGCTTATAGTTTCCTTTGTTGTGCAAAAGCTTTTAAGTTTCATTAGGTCCCATTTGTTTATTTTTGCTTTTGTTTCTAATATTCTGGGATGTGGGTCATAGAGGATCCTGCTGTGATTTATGTTGGAGAGTGTTTTGCCTATGTTCTCCTCTAGGAGTTTTATAGTTTCTGGTCTTATGTTTAGATCTTTAATCCATTTTGAGTTTATTTTTGTGTATGGTGTTAGAAAGTGTTCAAGTTTCATTCTTTTACAGGTGGTTGACCATTTTTCCTAGCACCACTTGTTAAAGAGGTTGTCTTTTTTCCATTGTATATCCTTGCCTCCTTTGTCGAAGATAAGGTGAGCATAGGTTCGTGGATTTATCTCTGGGCTTTCTATTCTGTTCCATTGATCAATATTTCTGTCTTTGTGCCAGTACCATACTGTCTTGATGACTGTGGCTTTGTAGTAGAGCCTGAAGTCAGGCAGGTTGATTCCTCCAATTCCATTCTTCTTTCTCAAGATTGCTTTGGCTGTTTGAGGTTTTTTGTATTTCCATACAAATTGTGAAATTATTTGTTCTAGTTCTGTGAAGAATACCATTGGTAGCTTGATAGGGATTGCATTGAATCTATAGATTGCTTTGGGTAGTATACTCATTTTCACAATATTGATTCTTCCAATCCATGAACACGGTATATTTCTCCATCTGTTTGTGTCCTCTTTGATTTCTTTCATCAGTGTTTTATAGTTTTCTATGTATAGGTCTTTTGTTTCTTTAGGTAGATATACTCCTAAGTATTTTATTCTTTTTGTTGCTGTGGTGAAATGGTATTGTTTCCTTAATTTCTCTTTCTGTTTTCTCATTGTTAGTGTATAGGAATGCAAAGGATTTCTGTGTGTTATTTTCACATTACATTTAAATTGAGAATTTTACTATTTATCATTGAACAGTCCTCAGATAAATATGAAATTTAGATTCGTAGTTTTACCCAAGGCTCTGTTCTGCTTCCTGCAGCGCATCTGTCAAGCATTTTTTGTGCCAACTCAGCATCATGGTTCATAGGCAGGAACCCTGCAGCCTGTGTGAGCTGCACCCAGAGAGGAGGGGGGCCCTGAGGAGACATACTTCACTCAGGACCTGAACTCCTCAGTACCCACTGCCCATCACCCGCCAGTCCATCAGAATTCAGCACAACCATCTTCTCTTCTCGAACCTGTTTCATGCTTTCCCACCCTGACCTGGGTTGAGTTAGGAAGATTGTGGTTTGGCTCCTCGATGGGCCGGGTGCTCCTTGAACCGAAGTTCCAGGCCTGGTGCATGGTGACAGTGGACCCCCCATCTGCAGAGTGACTGAGGGGACTGCTTCTGGTCTCTGCAGAAACTTCCCTTCTTTTATTTCTGATGACTCGGATGACATGGGCTGGTTGTGTTTGATCTGTTATGCGCATGGGAGACAAACGTGCTTTGTGGACCCTTGGCACTGGGAAGGGTAGACCCTTTCTCCCTCACCCCCCGAAAGCAAGAGACAAACATGGGGTTCTCCACTGTGGGCTCTCGGGGAGGGTGGGACCCACACCTCTTAGAAGTGCTGGGTTTGGGGCTCAGTATGGATTTGGTGAACACCTGCACCCATGCAGGAACTGATGTGCATGGCAGTGGGCATTTCAACTCTGCTTCTACTTCTGTGTCCCTCAGAGTCTGTGTGTAATCATTAGAGAACATGGATGTACAGAAGCATCTTCAAGAAGCAGCATGTCCCCCTTCTCCCTCCTGCCACTGTGATGAGTCAGTGATGCCAGGCCTGTGTCAGAAGATGGGCACTTCAATGAGGCTCCTGCCTTCTGCCCCAGGGTGGTGCCCACCCCCCTCATCTGCTGCCCTGGAAAGGGGCATGGTCTCTATCAGGACCAGCTGACAGCTACCAAAGCTGCCCATCGCGTGCAAGTAGGCTTTTTAGCAGAGCTCAGTAATGGGCTTGTTTCTCCTCTCTTGGAGTGGACGTATGTTTGAGGTTGAGAAGGTGGCTAGCAAGTTGTCGCATAGGGAGTGGGGAGGGGAGGCCAGCTTGCTCCTCCCCACCCCTGACCCCTCTGTCTTAGCTCAGAAATTCTCAGGGCTTCTCAGTATCGTATCAGGATCTCCTGGGTGCCCCCTGGAGCCTATCAGCTCCATAGTGTTGAGTGTAGTGATGGGGCAGTGTGAAGAGGTGGAGGAAGTCTTGGTAAGTGGGTGGTGGGCTCATGGTAAGTCTGTCGGGGGGTACAGTGCTTCCTTAGGTCTGAAGTGCGGGACGTCAGAGAGTGTTCTCAGCCTATAAGACAAGGGTCCGCTCAGGATGAAGGTCAGCATGGGAACACCATGTGGCACCAGGCTGGTTCAGGTCTTAGAGATAAGACTCCCAGGACACTTCTGCCCTAAGTGGATGCTTCCTCTTCAGCCCAAAATAAATGCAGAGTAACCAGAAGGCAGACAAGGAAACAGACAGGCCAGGGAGGAGACCGGAGGTTGAGAAGGGTAAGTGCAGAGGTGAAAAGAAACTCTGTACCAGCTTCCTGCTGGGGAAAATATGGTTCTCCATCCGTGGGGGGGTGGGGTGGGGGTGGGGGTGCCGAGGGGGGTCAGAGGAACTCCTTGGATGGCTCAGGGAGAAGAGGGAGATGAGATGCAAACAAGACAAGATGCCTGCAGGCTGAAGCAGAGCAGGGGGCAGGCCAAGCAGAAGGAAGGAAGCAGGTCTACTTTCCAGGGAGCACAGGGCCCTCCATTTGGCTTGGCCCTTCCCAGGTGGCGCTAGTGGTAAAGAAACCACCTGCCAATGCAGGAGACATAGAGATGTGGGTTCAATCCCTGGGTCAGGAAGATCCTCAGTGGGAGGGCATGGCAACCACTCCAGTATTCTTGCCTGGAGAAACCCTATTCTTGCCTGGGAAATCCCATGGACACAGGAGCCTACCAGGCTATAGTCCTTGGGGTCGCAAAGAGTCGGACATGACTGAGCGACTAACACTTTCACTTTTTTCACTTTTTCTTTTGCATTCTGTGGGGCACAGCTTGGGAAACACTGGATTAAGACACTGTCCTGCCCATAAGGGGTGTGCATACAGCACTATTTTCACAGTGTCTGTGGGGCAAACAATCTGAGTGTTTGGGGTGGATTTGTACCCACTGATTCATTAGTCTTGCCTGGAACCCACAAAATCCTTTTGCAGGAGGGTTTCCTGAGATATGAATGCGGCTGGTGGCCATGGACAGAGTGTGAATTAGTTGTGCATGAAAGCACCATTCTTAGTCTCCACTTTAAGACACTGGTTCTTTAATCCTCCTGATTCCAGTATTACGTGGTCGTGGGAATGTTCCATAGCCCTTAATTAAAAAAATTTTTTTAAAGATTTTTATTTTGATGTGGAATTTTTAAAAAGTCTTTATTGAATTTTCTACAATATTGCTTCGTTTTATTTTTTTATTTTTTGGCTGTAAGGCATGTTATAATAAAGCTCTGACCTTGGAAATGATTTACTTTATAACTACAGTGGGATTGATGGTGGCCCTGTCGAGAGCTCCCTTCCCTGCCTTCCCCAGTGGCTCCTCAGTGGGGAGGGAAAAGGGCAGAGAGTCTTGGAATTGCTCACCCGAGGGGCGTTTCCTACCTGCATAAGCCAAGCCTTGTGTATGTTGCAGCTGAAAGAAAGATTTAGAATTGTCATTCAGCCTCTAACAGGGCTACTAAGAGTAGGTCCTCACACTGGCAGCAGCACATGGGCGTGACTTAGACATGCACATTCTCAGGCCCCCAGAGCAGCCGGCAGACCCTTCATCCCTGGTGCAGGACCCTGCTGCTGTGTTTCCCCAGCACCACCCCCCAGGGTTCCCATGGAGTGGCACCGCCCTGGACCCATGGTTCTTATAGCAGGGTCTCCTGGACACAGCTCCAGACTCACCCTCAAGCTTGTTCAGAGCCACTCAAATTCTTAGTCCCTAGGTGTTGACAGGAGGCAGTGGGCATGCTCCCTTTTTCCAACGCTCAAGGAATGAATCTATAATGTCATCCGTTCTCCGATGTGCATTTCTGGAGCTTGGAAGTAGAAAGGAGCTGAAAAGGTCGCTAAGTGGTTAATAATAAAACCTCACCAATCTTTATTGCTGAAGATTTGAAGTGTGGCTCTGGACCTGGGCCCAGGGATGTTTTAACAACCCTCCAGGCGGATGAACCCTCAGGTTCGAGAGTCCCTAGACTGCAGTTACCATCGGATTCCCACATGCACACGGTCATGTCAGGCAGGAAGGTGGCCTTATTGCAGCCTCTGCCTGCGGGCCTGAGGTTGACTCCAGGCAGCTGCCCATCTCCGCTGCCCCTTCCCTTGATAGCAGGTTGAGGAGGGTGCTGCTGCCCAGGAGAGGTATTCCACCCAACGGCAGTAACGTGCTCACTTGGGCTCTGGTGGAGAAGAAGACATGGTTTTGAAGTGAGGACGTTTCTTTCTTCACCTTTTCCCTAGTCCAGCTTCGACACAGCCCCCAAGCCGGCCCCGCACTGGGTCCTTGAAAGCCGGCAGTAAGAAGGTGGAGGCCTGGAGCTGGCTGGCCCTGCCAGCATGCCCTGGGCTCAGCCCGTCTCTCCGGCTCCCGGAGGCTCCTCCCTGTCCCTGAGCCGACAGAGGCCCTTGAGTTCAGGCTCCCAGGGAGGCTGCTCATCGCTTTCTTCCAGGACTCTCTGTGGGAGTCCAGGCTTACAGATGTTTTTCTCCAAAGGTATTCAGGCCTTCACCGTGAAGAACTCGGTAAACACAGAGAGGCTCGATGCAAGAAGGATGAAGATGGAAGAAGGTAAGGCTCAGGTCTTCGCAGTGGGCGGGGTTGGCCAAGGTTGGGGGGTGGTGGGGGCAGGGAGGACGCCGAGGTGGCCGCTCTTGTCACACTGGTGCGCGGATCTGGTGGCTTGGAGAGACAGAAGGGGCAGGTCTCTGGGTAGTTTCACCTCTGTCCTGTGCAGTGGATGCCCTAACCTGCAGGACCCTGGAGTTTTGCGTCTGCTTTGGGGAGGCCAGGACGGATGGTCACGTCTGTGCCTGGAAGCTTGGATACTCTTCTTCTAGAGCGAGGTGACATCACGCATCCTGTCTCCCCCAGGCACAGTGACAGCCTTGCTGGGACCTGGAACCTTCCATGATGCTCTTCCTCATGGCCCTGTCTCCGAGGAGCTCTCGTTTCCCCACAAGGGAGCCTGGGAATCACTTTAGAATCTGCCTCTTCTCTTGAGTTGTAGTGCTTTTCACTGAATTCAGGCTGGAGAAGGCAAGATGAAACTTTTAAGTCCCCTGCTTCTCCAACTCATATCAAAATGACCAAAGGACTGTAAAATTAGGGAAAGTAGGCACCACCTGAGAAAATGGGGCAGGAGAAGCTGTGGGAGGGAAATTTGGAGGCTTTTCTTCTGGACCAAGTGAAGCTGCAAAGGAAAGAAAGAAGGTCTGACTTGGAAGGACTTGGTATTCAGAGGGATGGGCTGCTGGCAAACTAATGGGTGGATTTTCCAGTAAAGCTGCCCCCACCCCAGACACCCAAAACTTCTGGCCAGCAGCTAAAGTGAAAAGCTTATGTATGTGTGAGCCTGTGAGACTTGAGTTCAAACCCACCATGTGTGAGTTGTGCAGGATGGATGGCCTTGGGCTTGTCCTCTCTCAAAGGGAGATGACACCCGTTATCAGGCGTAACAAGGATTAAATGGAAAAGGCAGTGAGACTCAGCCAAGATGTTCACCGTTGCTGTACTGATTACTCTATGCCAGGTACTGTGCTAAATAAAATCTTTACATACATTGCTTCCTTTAATCCACAAGAAAGCTCTTTGGGGTTGTTCTTTTTCTAGTCACTGCTTTACAGGCAAAGCAGCTGAAGTTAAGGAGGGTCAGAGACTTGCTCGAGATTCACAGATAAGAAGAAGGGGTGGAGAACGAATTTGAACTCAGATAGTCCAAGTGCAAAGCCCATGCTTTCAACCCCTGAGCTACACTGTTATAGGTCCTTGACTTATGTTACTTTATTTCATTCTTCCTATAGCCTTATGGTAACCATTTTTACTGGTGAAATGTCACAGGTTTATAGGTTAAACAATTTGATGTGTGCAAAGATTTGAAACCAAGCCTGCTGGACTCCAAGGCCCCGCTCTTGACCATTGTTTTCCTTAATTAATATACTCCGTGGAGTGTCATTCTGTCTCCCAACTTAGCAGATTTTCTAGTAAAGTTCCCCCCACCTCAGACACCCAAAACTTCTGGCCAGCAGCTACAGTGAGAAGCTTATGGATGTGTGAGCCCGTTAGATTTGAGTTCAAGCCCACCATTATTTTCCCACTGAATACAGGGTGTGGAAGGGCTATCATGCCTGATGGGGAGAAATCCAAACTCTTGATTCCTCTGACCCCTAAAGAATGGAACCATTGCTGCGAGTGCCTCTAAATCGCCTGTGTTTCTCTTTGCCAGTAGAACTCACTGAGAACATCGGGCTCCCGGTGAATCTGCTTGAGAAACACGACCTATGGCCGGCCTATGTCACTTACACCTCCCCGGTGGTGAAGAGACTCATTGAGAAGAGCAAGGCCAGAGAGCTGGAGTGCTTGCAAACGGTGGAGGAGAGTCGGCGGGTGGGCAAGCAGAGCAAGCCAGCCAGCTTCATCCAGCTGAAGAGGAGAAAGTCCTCCAAGTCCTCGGGCACTGCCACCTTCAAGGACCTGAGGTCCGAGACCATGCTGTCTGTGTGGGGCTCCCTCTCCATGTCGGCCACGGGGCCCCCGAGGGTCCCAGAGACCCTTCACCTCCACTCGGACTCCAGGGCGAGTCCCACCGCCAGCTACAACAAGATCATCTTTGCCCGGGCACCCACTGTGAGGACGCTCCCTTACACGGCCGGGCGGCCATCGGAAATGTTTTGTCTCTAGCCAGAGTCCTCGCAGCTGACCCCCGAGCTTGTATGGCAATTAAGCGCCGTTTGCCACACATTGTGTGGAGGCCCTTGCATTGGAATTCGCCCCTACTGGTGCAGAGGTTGGCTGAGATCAACCCCAAGGGATGGGGGCCATGGGTGGGCGGGTGCACCCCCTCTGGCAGTGCAGTTAAGTAGGCCTGGGAATGCCAGGCTCCAGTTCCTGGTGTAGACGCTTAGGACCTAGCTGGGGGTGAATCAGTTCTGGTCCAGGCAGCAGACAGAAACCACACCAGAGATTCTTTCTATTAATAGAAAGAATCCCTAAGCAGGCCACTGAAAAGATAGGAAGAGGGTTCAGAGGGTGTGGATAGAGAGGCACCTGCAGGAAGCAGCCTGGGGCATGCACCCAGGGAAGATGCAAATATATTAAGTTAGACGCTTGGTGACAGGCAGGTGGGCTGATCTCTGATTCCTGAGGTGGGCTAACGAATGCTTCTCAGCAGACGCTGGTGTCCTGAGCTCAGAGGACAGCCTTGTGGGGTGGCACCCCTGCCTCTTGGCTCATGGACCCCCCAAGCTTGGTTCCAAGAGTGTTGGGGAAACCCAAGAGGGACTCAGATGTTTCTGGAAGGAGTCGACACCACCCAAGTGAATGAGTATTGCTGAGGACAGGAAGCCAGCAGGAACCAAATCTGGAGTGAGTCCCTTCGTCATCCTCCAGCCTTGACGCTCTCTCTGGCTCTCCCAATAGGCAGAGCTTAACCAGGAGGGAAATAGAAATGTGATTTGCAGCAACTCAAACCCTGCCCCTTGAAGTAGAGTGTGAAAGGATGGACTTGCAGCCAGGGAATTAAGCTTGAGTCCCTGCCCAGTGGGTTCCAAGAGATCCCACCTTGCTGTCCTACTTGGTTCCTGAACCTGTATTGGGAGGTTTCTTCCTTGGGGGGCGCTTACAAAGCGGCCATGGGGGTCCAAGTGTCTGCTGCTGAGAGATGGGGAATTCTGTCCCCTGAACTTCTCTGAGGCTTGTGGAGCAGAGCTGGCGGGGAGACAGCTCCGGCTGGACCCCAGCTGTGTGCTTTGTCAGACAGCTGGAATCGGTCCACCCATGCTCGGGCTATTCTCAGCTGGCCTCAGAGCAAATGATGCTGTCCTCTGTCTGCAGGCAGACACACTATGTGTTTAGTCACAGAGGGGACCCAATGTGACAGACAGACCACCCAGTCTCAGGTTTGGGGCTCTTCCACTGAGCTTGGCTTCGCTGATTGTATCTCTCTTTGCCTCACCCAAGTGGCTGTGCTTGTGTAAGTGAAATGGTTAATACTCACCCAGCTTCTCACAGAGACACAGAAGATGCAATGAGTCAGTTGTTGGAAAAGGTGGAAGCTGCACTGTGAATGTGCCCTCTCCACCCAGGAGCCCTGCAGAAACACCTGGCTGCACTCTGGCTGCCGTGAGCTGTGTCGAGAGCTGCACAAGTTAGGAGCTCCAGATCCATTCCTGGGTCCGCAGCTCTTGGCCAGAATGAATTCTTACAAAAATAATGTGATTTACAGTGAATCCAAATGACTGTCTTTTGGGTCCATGGAACATTTACAGATATAGAGGCAGATGATAAATTCCCAACAAAAATTTTTCTTTTCTCTATCCCTTTATGGGAATTTATAGCTAGAGTATACTTGGGAAGTGATGGATTATAGATTTTCGTTGTGTCAGTGTTTGCAGGGGTTTGGGCTGATTTCTTTCCATTCCTTTGAAGGCAGAGTTGTTACATAGTGTTTTGTTTTGTTTTTGGTGGCTGTTGCTTTTTAAATTTCTAGGTGTTTCACAGTTTTTACAAATATATACTCTCTAAATTAATGGTTGTTTTATAGATAACATTGCTTAGGTTAATTTAATTCTCAGTCTGTTATACAAGCAGGAGCTAAGCACTCCAGCACCTTACGCTGTGATGAGAATGGCTTGTGTCTGTGGCTGCAGTCCAGACGCGTTGCCTTCTGGGGCTGTTTTAAGAAAGAAAAACTCTTAATTGCTTTGAAAGGGAGGAGTCTGTTCAAGGCCAAACTGGGTTCATAGGTCCAGCCACTTCAAGGACTTGACCATGTTGGCTTGAGGACCAAGGGGGCTGCCTGGAAGGGGTTCTCCTGGGGAGGCAGCTGATGGACAGAGGAGCTGGACCAGTGATGAAGCCTCCGTCACTGGAGGAAGGAGGGTGACCCTGAGGTATCAAAGCGGCTGTTGCTTAAATTTGTCTCCAGGCCCAGATGCCTGACTGCATGGAGGTGGGGGCTCTGGAGCTGAACTCGTGCTAAACTCATGGAGGACTCTTGCTAAAATCCTGGAAGGCCCTGAAGTAACGACAAAAAGTGGGGCAGAGACTTCTTGATGTCACAAGGCACCCATGTGCAGGCTCCCCGCCCTGGGTGTGGACACGAAGCTGTGGGCCTGTAGAGCCCAGTGGATGCTCGGCGGGACTGGACTGGCTTTGTTAATGAAGCTGGGAGACTTCCTGGTGCTCCCAGGGCCGGCAAGCAGCCTTCCAGCGGCCTGGAGTCGGCCCAGCAGGCGGGGCTTGGAGTGGAATGTGGATTCTTCCGAGTGCAACCTCAGCCGCCTTCTGAGTGGAGGGCCTGGGGGAGCTCAGGTTCCTCTGGATATGCTGGACTCAGCCCTGGGAGTCCACAGCCTGTAGCTGCCTCCTCTTTATCTCCACAGCATCTGGAAAGTTCCGTCTGGCAGGGGAGCTGTTTCATCTCCCCACTCTGGTTGGTGTGTGAAACACCAGAGTGTATCTTTTGTTAGCCCTTCTATGCTGCTCTGTAACTAAGGACCCCTCTGCCTCTGACACGTTGAGTAGCTGTTTTTGAGCAAATTCTCTGGCTCCCGAGCACGATACGGTTTTTTTCTGTTTGTAGATTCCACAGTTGGTGTTTAAACAGTTGACGTTTACCTTCAGCTGAGCCTGTGGTCCTTGACATTCAGGGGTCGGGGGGGGGGGGGTGGGGTGGGGAAGGTGGGCTGTAGGACAGACGATCTGGCAGTTCCTGGAGCTGCTGTGTGCCAGCCAGATGTTTGGGGGTGGCCCAGGGATCCTCCAATTGGAAACGGAGGCCAGGGCGGGGACTGAGGGCAGGGGCTCGGTAGAGCCGAGGACTTGACTGACAGCGCGTGTGATTACAAATCCTTCTGGTCCATTGGGCCTGAGGGCCTTGTGTGGGAGGCACAAATGCCTCACAGTCCCCTTAGTCTCCTTTTTCAGGACAGAGATAAAATAATGGGCCCCCTGAGGTAGGGGTTTGGACCCCTGGGCTTTGGTGGGGGCCATGGGAGGGAGAGGGGACACAGCCCAGGAATCCCAACCAAGGGCCAGCCCCACCTCCCTGGAGACGGAAAGCCAGCAGCAGGAACCCCAGCCCTGCAGCCTCGCTCCGCGTGTCCACAGAGGTGGTAGAAAAGATTGTTAAGTACTTTGTGGGACGTGGGTGCGCCTGTGTGCCTGTCCTGCCCCTGCAACTCTCTTCAGCTCTGTCTGAGAAGTTACTCCTAGAAGCTTCTTGGAATCCCCACCCTTCTGGAGTGAAGTGCAAAACCCGCACCTTATCAGTGATGAGACCGAATGAGAGCTGGAGGGGCAGTAAACAAGGGCCTGGGATTTACCAGGATCCAGCATCGCTGAGCCTCAACTGAAGCTCAGATAATCAGGAAATCTTCCCTCTTCCTTGCTCATTACCCACTTCCCCAGCCCCAGCTGTCACCAGGGACCCAAAGCCTCAGCCACCTGCTTTTGTTCTAAGTTGCTTCAGTCGTGTCTGACTCTTTGCGACCCCATGGACTATGACCTGCCAGGCTCCTCTGTCCATGGGATTCTCCAGGCAAGAATACTGGAGTGGGTTGCTATGCCCTCCTCCAAGGGATCTTTCCGACGCAGGGAGTGAAGCCATGTCTCCTATGTCTCCTGCATTGGCAGGCGTGTTCTTTACCACTAGTGGCATCTGCTTAGGTACTTGGAACTCACACTGTGCTGCCCTAAACTAGCGAGGCATAGCTGGGCATATGCAGGGGGCTCCCTCTGGGGCATTGGGATGGGCATGGGGGGCAGGCAGGGGATGCGGGTACACCCCAGTTTTAGGTGGAACCCACCACTGCCCCCATATTCTGTGCCTTGGTCCCGGCTATGATCCAGTTTCCACATGGGACAGGCAGGATAAACAGTGACGTGGAGATGACCTTGGACTCAGTACTGAGAGCCCCATCTCTTCTCCCAGGCTCTCTGTTCCAGGGCAAAGAATTCCCATCCCACCCAAGGCCTTTCTAGGAAGCTCCTAGTTCTGAGGGCCCAACAAGGTTCCAGGTAACCCACTTCCCCTTCAGGTCCAGTTTCCAGCCATCCGGTAACCTCCATCATTTTTGGTAGACAAGGCAGGAGGGAAGCTTCTGGATTTCAGACAAGTCAGAATGGTTTCCGTGGGTCTGCCAGTCGGGAGGGGTATTTCAGAGAGACAAACTGGTCCCAGGGAAAGTGGCCACTGGAAGGACAATTGCCCCGTGGGCCCTGAGTACACCAGGCCCTCTGTGCCTACTTCTGTGTGTTTCAGCTCTTCCAGGTCCATTCACTGCCTTGGAGGCTTCTGTCTGCTGTCCTGGCTAGAAGGGAGCCATTCTGAGACTGGACCCAAGCCCTCAGGTCCAAGTCCTGGCTACCTTTCCTGTACCCGGGTCCCCTTCCCTGTTCTTCCTTCTCTTCCTCCTTGTTTTCATCACTGGCAGTCCTGCTGGTGTGTCCTCAGGTGGGGAGGTGTGCTTGGCCTGTGGCTTTGACCCTCAAGGTCAGTGTTGGGCATCCTTTTGGAAGGTATCCACTCCTCCTTGTGAGTGGTTTTACCAGAAGCCCGTCCTTTGTGGCCCATTCCCCAGGGCCAACTCACCTGCTGCCGGACCAGCCGAGTTGGGAAGGAGACTCTGAAAGTGTCGTGAGAGCCGGACAAGGTCAGTCGTGCTCATGGTCATCTTTCC